CTGTTGCAATTTCCTAGAGCGTATTCATGATGTTAAAGGAAAGCTAGTGTATGTTGAAAATTAGGTAAATACACTTGGGCCCAATGCTAAGCACTTTTCTATTGTCATATTCACCGAAGGACTACACAGATGAGTAACATATTAGTCTTCCCGACAACTCAATAAAATGGGGGTTTCCATCCTTGTTCCACAATTTTGGAAGAAGTCTAAAAGAGATGCATTAATAAGCCTAAGAGTTTATTAATTAATTCAAAGCCCACAGCTTCTAAATAGAGTTAGACAGGTCCTGGATCTTGACATAACATTATGATTGTACAATTAAACCACTCGACAGCAAAGTTGACGTGGTAAGAGGACCCATAGAGAACACTAGTTATATTAATTATATAAAAAAGTAAAACTGGTGTTGGAGTGATAGCATAGCAGGTAGAGCATTTGCCTTGCACGTGGCCAACCTGGGTTCAATTTCTGGAACCTCATATGATCTCCCAAGTACCACCAGGAGTGATCCCTAAGTGTAGAGCCAGGAGTAAGTCCTGCCTGAGCACTGCCAGATGTGGGCCCCAAAATCAACAGCAACAAAAAAGTATAAATAAATGAAAAGGTGGTCCCCATGGAGGAAAGCCTCTATGCACGCTGGTTTTACAGACCAAGGCTTCATTAATCTTTTAGAAAATGGCCCTTATTTTGCTATGATGTTCCTTTCCCTTTCAGACCACACAGAAAACAGCTCAGGGATATCCTGCATCTATATTAAAAAAAGTGCTTATGAAGCTGAGAGTGTAACTCTATGGGAAAGCACTTTCTAACAAGTATGAATCTCCAAATTCAATCTCTAGCTCCCACCAAAAATAGAATAAACAAATATATAGAGTCTTTCTAAAGATTGAATCTGAGGTAGCTTACCGGATGCCACTACTTCCCATCTGCTTTTTCACTCTTTATCTCTGCTGACAGTGAAGAAACACTTCTCACACATATAACTTGGAAATGCAAAGGTTTAAAGTAAACGCCTATTTTTCAGTATTGAGAACAGTGCTCCTGTGAACAGTCTTTTACTAAATATTTCCTGTCTCAACTGTGCAATAGTTTTTCAATAGCGTCAACAAAAGAGCAGAATTATTAGCCATAAAATACTTGAATGTTTGACCAGGTGATAATGACGAATTCTTTTCCAAATGATTTTGTGAGATTATTTCAGCAAGCGATATAAAGAAGTCCTCTGGATTTATAGGCTTCCAACATGCAGTTTTGTCATTTTAAACTAATTCAAATGGTATAAAATGATACCTCTTAGTGACCTTGATTCAGATTTCCTATACTGCTAATTATATTGAACATATCTTTAAGTGCTCATTGCTTATATAGTTTTCTTGTTTTCAAGTGCCAGTTTATGTTCTTTTTCCCATTTTATACTAAATTGCTTATGCTTTTTTTTTTTATTGATTTCCAGGAGTTCTCTATATGTTTTAATAAGAACCATTTGTCAGTTGTATGTTTTCACACATAATATCTTCTAATTTTCAACTTGTCATTTCACTTTCCTTATGACATTTATGAATGAACAAAGTTTTTAATTTTAACATTGCTGAATTTATGTCTTCTCCTTCATAGTTCTTTAGAGATATGTTATGCAAAATATTTCCACTTCAAGATATTAAAGATATTCTCCTTATTTATTTTACTAAGAATTTGAAGTTTTGTTTTTTCATTTAAGTCTCTGATTTATTCACTTATTTGTCCAGGAAACTAAAGTGGATATTATCTGTATTTTTCCTACATAGATAACACTTCTAACTCTTTTGAATAATCATTGGATTTTTTTTCACTTAAAATATTCCACCTTTCTCCTATTCAATGTTCTACATATATCTGGGCTTGTTTTATAGACTTTTAGTTTATTCCACTGATATCAATTTTTCTTTTTTATATCATTTTTTCTATTTGTACCAATAACTACTAAGTAATTACTATAATGATATGTACTTACATCTATATAAGACATATTCACTTCTTGTTTAAAGTGTCCTTACTATTTGGGGCCTTCTACTTTTTAGTATCTATTTTAATGATGCCACCAAATCTATAGGAACCCCTGCTGGCATTTTATTTAGGATTTCACTAAGCCTATAGTTTAATGCTAATTGTTTATGTATTGACATGATACTGTCTGAATATTGTAAATGCTACTCTTTATATTTTCTAATTTTTTTGTGTTGCCCAGAAGTGTAATTCTCTTATGATAATATGTGTATACTCATATATTAAAATATGTATTTGCCAGTCAATTTTAAACTGTTAATATTTTAAATAAATTTTGTAACAATTAAAAAATAATACCAGTAATTATTTTTTAGAGAAGATAAACTTCTTAAGAGAACAATTAAAGAAGTTGTGAAACAATTTTTAACATTATTGAGATGTTAACTATGGGTTGAAGAGACAATGGGGTTTAGAAAACTTGAACAATTTTGGTTTCCGTTTCTGTCAAATTTAGGGACTCAATTTTGAAACAGCATTTGGATTATGATTTCATTATTTTATTTGGAAAAAAGTGAGTTCATTGTTATTTTACTAGTTTTAAAAAATAAATTGGAATTAGTAGGAAAAATGTATGGTTTCAGCAAATTAGTATTTCTAATTTTGGAATAGTAATTTAGCTCAGATGACTTAAACGTTCTAGGTGTCCTTCTCTACAGAATATATGTAAAGTCATGTTAAACTGGATGCAGACTTTAACTTAAGTGAAAGTCAGGCTACAAAAGCTAAGTTTAAAATTTTACTTTCCATGTTTGAAAAGTCAGAATAAGGGCATATGAGCAAAATGGAATAATTCCAGTGTCTTCCTGGGTTTCTCTCCAAGAAACAAATTCACTAAAAGCTAGGGGAAATTTTATTTATGTCTGTTATCATTAATGTATTATTATTGTACATACATTGTATAATAATGTATTATTAATGTATCTTATTGTCTAGTTCTTGCTCTCGGAGAATCTGGCAGGCTACCGAGAGTATCCTGCCCGCACAGCAGAGTCTGGCAAGCTCCCGGTGGCGTGTTTGATATGCCAAAATCCAGTAACAATGATGGGTCTCATTCCCCTGATCCTGAAAGAGCCTCAAATGTGGAACTTGCTAAAATCTCAGGGCTAGGATGAATGGAGACGTTACTGGTGCCTGCTTAAGGAAATCGATGAACAATGGGATGACAGTGATACAGTGAGTGATCATTAACGTAGAGTAATTATTTTCTCTGTTATTTCATCTTTTAGTTCACTTTGAATTGATTTGCTCACCTATGTTATGTTCACACAGAGGAACTAAATTGAGCACATAATATTTAGAAAAAGCTACCAGGACTGCAGAGAGAGCTCAAAGGTCTGAGTTTATGTTTTGTGTGAAGCCAGAGTTTGATCTCTACTACCACTTGGTCTCTTGAGCTCTGTTGGGTGTGGCCCCCAAACCAAACAAACAAAACTAAAACCATCATAGAGAAGTATCTAAACCATCATAGAAAAGTATAACATACCAATACCGACTGGAGTGATAGCACAGTGGTAAGGTATTTGCCTTGCGTACAACCAGCCTGTCCGAGCCAGGTTCGATTCCTCCACCCCTCTCAGAGAGCCTGGCAAGCTACCTCCCAAGAATATTCAATATGCCAAACCCAGTAACAACAAGGCTCACAATGGAGACGTTACTGGGCCCCCTCTAGCATATCGATGAACAACTGGAGGACAGTATGTTTGACCATACCAATTACTAACGGCAGTAAAGACAAGCACATTAAAGTGTGGATAGACATGGTTAAACATCTTTTCTTTTTAAATTTTTATTTTTTGGATTACATTTTCTCAGTTCAGCGCTTATCCCAGGCTCAGTACTCAGAATTCACTCCTGGTGGGGGTCAGGAGACCACATGGGATTCTGGAGATCAAACTCAGGTTGACTGCATGTAATGCAAGTGTCCTGTCTGCTGTACTATCACTCCAGCCCTGACATGGCTAAACATTTATAGATGTGGACACACAAAAGTAAAAGTAAAAGTAAAGGCCCTCCCGTTGATCATCGATTTGCTCGAGCGGGCCCAGTAACGTCTCCATTGGAGACTTTGTTGTTACTGTGTCTGGCATATCGAATACTCTCGGTAGCTTGCCGGGCTCTCCGAGAGGGGCGGAGGAATCGAACTCGGGTTGGCCATGTTGGCTGCGTGCAAGGCAAATGCCCTACCACTGTGCTATCTTGAGAATAATTAAAAAATTTTGATCGATAAATTGGTGCCTTTTCTCTATCTACCAATCCCCTGATATTTGCACCCAATATACCCTTTCAAGAGAAAGGATGAAATGAGTTTTATTTAATTTTCATTTCTTTGGGAAAGATAAAAATCTCCTTAACATCTCAGAGCTGGACTATGGAGTCAAAAAAATTGTATCATTCTGTGAGCTTAAAATAGTAGTAATCTACCAGAAATGACTATTTGGTCACATAAATTTTTAAAGGATGAGATAAAAAGATGAGGAAATGACAACATGGGTTTAATTAGAGAATATTTAATAACACCCAGTTTATTTTCAGTTCTCATCTGTACCAACACTGTTTCAAACAACCTCTACTGTCTGTTGACTGAATCATCAAATATCTTGCCCATGGATTTTTAGATTTACTTTTTTGTTGTTTTTGTTGGGTTTAGGGGATCACATACGTCTGTGCTCAGGGCTTACTTTGTGGTGTGGGGATGTGGGGAGTGGTTGAATCCAGATTGGCCATATGCAAAGCAAAATCTTTGTCCTCTGTACTACCTCTGGATTTTTGTTTTGTTTTGTTTTTTAGGTCACACCCAGCAATGCTCAGGGGTTACTCCTGGCTCTGCACTCAGGAATTACTCCTGGCAGTGTTTGGGGAACCATATTGGATGCCGGGGATTGAACTCAAGTTGACCACACACATCTATTGAGAAAGGAAAATTCCACAAATGAAAAGGAAAAAAGAATTTTCCTTGCCTGTTTGATTTTGGCAGCGTACAGGAGAGAAGGAAATATCATCCAGGCCAACATACCCTCCTTTGGGCCCATTGAAAGCAACTTCAAAAATAACCTGCAGAGGAAAAGAACATATTGGCATGCATTTCCATATATGTATTTTTTTCTGTTAGGTTTAAGTGAGCTCAACTGTGATTTAAAATATGTAAATAAAACCTGAAGATGCCAAGTTATAAGTAACGAAGGAGTTACTTTCCTAAATAGTCAGAGAGTTCCGTCCTCAACTCAGTGCGTCTCTTCTAGGGTGATTGAATACTATGTCTACGTTTTAGTGCACTTCAGTCATTTCCCAAAGGCCTTGGGCATCACCTGACAAAACTATGCCACTTTCTGACAGAACTATAGAATGGACCATTTTAATTATAAATTTTATTTATTTATTTATTTATCTATCTTGTGTATGGGGAGAGGGAGGTAGGCTCCCAGGCAGTGCTCAGAAGTCACGAGACCCCACCAGCATTCTCAGCCAATGGGTCTATGGTTCAATGAGAGGGCCTGATAATTGGTGCTTCTTCAACCCTCCAGGCAGTACTCTGCTTGGGGGGTTCCAGGGCTGAGCCAAGGATGTTCCTGGACCCAGAGGTGCTAGAATGTGAATTGGGAGATAACCAGGCATTTGCCCCAACCATTTTATTATCTCCTGGACTCCTGCATTGTGAAATTTGGGTGGAGGGGCAGTTTAGCCACTCCCAGTAGTGCTCAGGGTTTAGTCCTGGATCCATGCTCATGGATAATTCGTGATGGTGCTCAGGGGACCAAATGTGATGCTTGAGAACAAACTGAGGTTTGACATAGACAAGTGCCTTAACTCTTGTACTATCTCTCCAGTTCCTGGAATGTGAATTTAATTTTTTGTTTGTTTGTTTAAAAGGAAGTGCTTGTCATTTGTGGGATATAAAAAACATAGCATGAGACTAATACCCAGAGACAGTAGAAACAAGGGTTAGGAGACTGGTGGGAGAAGGTATCTAGGATAGAGAAGAGATCACTATGACAATGATAGTTGGAAATGATTACTCTGTACGAGAACTGAGTGCAGAAAGAAAGAGATAAAAACATGTTCACCTTTCAGTATGTGTATTGCAAACCATAGTGCCTAAAAGGAGAAAGAGAGAGAGAGAGAGAGAGAGAGAGAGAGAGAGAGAGAGAGAGAGAGAGAGAGAGAAGAAGAAAAGTGTCAGCCATAGAGGCAGACCAGAGTGGGAGTGGAGGGAGGAAACTGTGAATATTGGTGGTAGGAAATGCACACTGGTGAAGGGATGGATGTTGGAACATTGTATGATTGAAACTTAATCATTGAAACTTTGCAACTGTGTATCTTACGGTGATTCAATAAATCTTTTTTTAAAAAAAAAGAAAATAAAATAAAAGGAAATGCTTGTAGATGGTGCACTCACTTTTTCCTTATGCCTTTCAGAGAACTAGGCCTGTCTAAATTTCTTTCCCTTTTAAACACATGGGATCCTATGTGAGAGTCTGGACAGAAAAACACGACAATCAGAAATATGTATCATAATGCTTAAGATAGAATCAGGTCCATCCAGAAATTCTGTGTGTGAATGTTAGAATTCCAGCATATCCAGTCATGTCCAGATGATTAAAAAGAACCTGTGTGTGTTTTTAATCCCTATAAGTTGTGTTTTCTTCTCTGTCACTGATGTCAATCAGTTGACTAGACACTGAGTTCATCAATCACCTTTTGCCTTTGAGTGTGAATATTAGTATTTTCCTACGCTGGAAAAACCACCCAAGTATACAAATGAATTTTTGTGAGTTGATAACGTGAGAAGATTCTGTGCTGAGCAGGGCTGACTCTCCCATGCTCACAGGCCAGCCAGGTTTAGAGAAATTCATTAAGTGGACCTGGAGCCACAGGAGAGGGTGTGAGGGAGCTGGAGGTTGCACAAAAGCCTTGTCTTAACTGGTGTTCACCCATCAGCATCCTTAATGGCGGATGTTTGGGCATTCAGTACCAATGTGTCTGGGTTAGCAAACTGTCAGGAGGAGCTGGATTTCAAGACTTCGACATTTTTATGAGTCTTCAGTACTAATTAAATCAGATTAATTCAAAACTTGAACAACCAAAAACAGGCCAATCATTGTGGTCCACACAGTGCAAAGTTAGAAACCCTTTTCTGTCCCCTATCAGATAGGGGATCTTGGGCACGTTGCTGAACCTCTCAGCCTCTCTTTTCTCATCTTTAAAACAGGCATGAGAGCACTGACCTTGTAAAGCTGAGAAGCTGAAATGAGGTCTTTACAAACATAATCTCATTTCAGGTAAATATTGAACTCTGGACTAAATCTCTGCCTTTTTCCTTAGGTCGAGCCCTTCTCGAAGTCATTCAGATTCAGATCAGGTTAGCCATTAAGTAGCTTGAGCAGACCCCTTCTATCCTCTAGGTATCAATTTCTTCATTTCATTTGGGGGGAAATTAAGAATTTGGACGCATGGATCCTA